GTCACACTCCATCAGGCCACCATTAGTTATAGAGAGGGTCTCCAAGGGAGCTTGTAGGTACTTGAACATCTGGGGTAGGCGACCTGCCAGAAAGTGCACGGAGTCGAGGTGGAGATGCTGAAGTTGTTGCAGTTTAGACAACTGGGTGGTGAATTTGTCCCAAAGCCTGTTTACCGTTCCTGAGGATATCGAGCAGGCGTGAACCTGGACATCACTGAGTAACAGTCTATTCAGATGAATCATCTGACCCAGAAAAGGAACAAACCAGGCCAGGTCAACCAAATTCCACTCACAGTTCACTTCTAACTGCTCCACACGAGCCAGCTCGACCTTTTCCAAGATCCTATGCATAATAGCGTTTTCCAGAGGCTTATGAAGAATTTCCAGTTTCCTACAGCACAGTCGGGGGATAAGTTTGTTCTGCATGACCCTCTTCACAAGGAAAGTGAGCAGTTCATCTGGAGAGGGCTCCATGAAGCACAGGTCCGAGAAAAGGACCAGCACCTCCGTGGAGGCGAACTTCTGCTTCTCCCATGTGCTGGAGGGGCCCACTCTGTGCCTCTCTGGGTTGGGCTGCGAAGCCCCACTCTCCCGTAAGGGGCTCGCTGAGATCCCATCCCCCAGCCCAGCCCACTTGTGCCAGAAGTTGGTCTCAGCGTCGCTTCTGAGGTCCAGCACTTGGAGTTTCCAACGTGTAGGTCGAAAGTCACGGGCAAGCAGCGCATCGATGCCACTGAGGGCTGCCTTCAAGATCTCCTGATCACACTGGGGAGCTTCCAGCAGAGCCCCCAGGGGGAGGTAGGGGAACGGCCAGGCCTCCACCATCGCCTGGACCATCCTGCAGCGTCTCCTCGCAACAGCCAACACGAACAGGGGCGGAAAGCATTCCCTGGGAAGTGACTGCAGAGCGGCCATGGCAGCGGCTTCATCCTCTAAAAGGCTCTGGCTGGCCAGGTCCACGAGTCTGGGCGGGTTCTGTCTGTCCATGCCGCTCTCCTGCTCCGAGGGGAAATG